GGCTGGCGAGAAGGGGGATCCCGGTCCAGGACAGTCCAGCTAAGAAGTAAATTTATTATTAGTGTTGACTGGAGTAGTTCTTGTGCCCATTTCTTATTAAAAAGAAGCTTTAAGAGTTTTTTTGCTTCTGTTTTGGAGGTTGGAAGGGAATACATGTAAATGTCTTTCTAGCGCTTTTATGTAACATTTAACCTTCAGATTCAGATGCTTGGGATAGACTGATTGAGCCCTAGCCGGAAAAAAATCCATGCTTTCTGCTTGCCTTGGCGATGTGCTTTCGCAGGTCTCCGCGGTACAGGACACGCAGGTGCGGGGCTGGCGCCCTCGGGACAGCAGCTGGCCCCGCCCGGCTGATTCCCAGGCCGTGGGCTCCTCGCCTCGCCTCTCTCCAGCTCCGCCTTTCTGTCCGGGGGCTGCGGCCCAGCCGACGGGCCGGCGGCGGCAGGCGCTCGGGGGCCCGGGGGCATGCGGAGGCTGTTCTCAGAAGCATCAGGCTGAGCTTGGGGCTCAGAAGCCCTCATTCTAGCCAAGGAACCCCAGCTCCCAAGTGCTGGTTTTCCTGGTTGCCAACCCTGGAGCCTGGGCATATCCTCCAAAGGTGCTTTAGGTAGCTTGGTCCAGAGCATGGTTTTAGCTAATTAGGTTACACTGGGGTTGGGGGTGGGCTGTCAGTGTTCCTTTCTGGTCCTGGGTTACCTCTGAGTCAGGTGCTTCCTTGAGGCAGTTTGGCTGTTCAGGACGGCCAGAGGCTAAATGGGAGCCGGTTGGGAAACGGAGCCAGAGGCTAAATGGGAGCCGGTTGGGAAACGGAGCCAGAGGCTAAATGGGAGCCGGTTGGGAAACGGAGCCAGAGGCTAAATGGGAGCCTGTTGGGAAACGGAGCCGGTGCCCACAAAGGAGTGAGGGGCATTAGGGAGGGGTGCTGCGTTTACTTTTCCCAGGAACCCGGTGGGGAGCTCCTGTTATCTCCAGTTTACAGAAGAGGAAAGGGAGGCACAGAGAATTTCAGAAACTCGCCCAGAGGTGGATGGAGCCCAGAATTAAACACACACAGGGTCTAGCATCCAAGCTCACACTGAATACTCTAAATTTAGCTTCATTTTCTTTTGCCCTAATGGAGCCTTTATTCAAACCCCACCCCCTCACTAGTTTAAGCAAATTCATCCAGTCATTTAACAGTGAGTTGGTTCACCCCCTGCCCCCACTTTAACCCCTATAGTCCGCTGGGGACAGCGACAACCACGTCTATTTTATTAAGTTCTGTATCTGCACACAGTAGGCTCCCAGGAAAGTTGGACAAATGAAAAGGAACAAACAGAATGAGTGCTTCAGAGTTTTTGCATCTGTCATGTAAATTAGGAAGAGAAGGAAATCTAACAGATTTATAATGACTTCTTCTGGGCCAGGCTCCTAAGATATGTCATCCCCATTTATTCTTACAGCAGGAGCTAGGGAAGGAGGAGACTAAAGTTCAGACACACTGCTCACTTGTGGTGGAGCTGGGATTCAAACCCAGGATTGTTCGCCTGATTCCAGAATCTGTAGTTCTCCTCATACCATGCCCCTCACTGGAGCATCTGGAATGCTGCAATAGTGATCAAGGGGAAGGTGGAGGTTTTTTTTTCTCTAAGTGAAAATGGAAAGTGAAATTTTGATTGTAGATGTGCTATTCTTCAGCTGGTCAACAGGCCTGTGCATGTGAAGAGAGAGGAAGAATGTGAAAAACAGCAAAGTGATGAGGCTGGGGGAGAGCTCTTCATTGAAAGAACAGGTTTTCACTTGGGGCCTGGCTTAGGAAATCCTGACGCTTCTACTTTAAAATAGGGGCTGGGAAAACTAGAAGCATTTTTTCTATCACCTCGGTCTATCACAGGCTTGCCCGAGATGGCATTGCAGGCTGTTTTGCCATTTTACACTAAGGAGGTATGTGTAAGCATCAGAAACAGAACACTGGAGTCTGTTGGATTTGAAGGGAGAAAGTTTACCATGGAATATGTAGTATGTTTTAAAGCCTGTGTTATGTTTCCTGGTTTATCTCCTAGAAGAATAATCTCTTTTGCATTGTAATCATTTACCTGGGTGCATGGTAGTTTGGATTTAGGTAAAAGATAACTTTTTTGGTTGATTTCTTCTCTCCTCACCCTGCTCCCCCCCACCCCCCAAGAATCCTGTTTCATGCTTCCATGTCTTTGGACTTATTTTGTTTGTCAGTTTATTTTGTTCATTAGATTCCACATATAAGGAGATCATGTGATATTTGTCTTTCTCTGACTGGCCTATTTCACTTAGAGGGGACAGGAATGGGGAGGAGGGGGTCAATGGGGAAAAAAGGGGGACATCTGTAATACTTTCAACAATAAAGATAAATTAAAAATTAAAAAAAAATAAATACAAAAAAAAGAATAAACTGTTTTGCATACTCACACACACACACAAAAGATAATTTCTGTTTCCAGTCTGTAATTGCTGCACTGTTTCCTAGTTTTCCCAGCCCTTAAATTTATGTAGCTAACACTTTTGTTTCCTTCTCTCTGATTTAGTTGCCATTTTTCTTTATCCCATTCCTCACTCCCTGCTGTCCCCCTCAATGTGGCTGGTTTTTGTGTTAATTATCCCCCTTGCTTTTGCCTGGACTTCCACTCTGCCTCCCTGGGTTTTTAGCGATGACAGTCAGTTAAGCAATCTTGTTGGCTGCTCTGGAGAAACCAGCATCATGTTATGCCTGTAGGTGGCATGTGCACACTGCAGTCAGAGGAGGGGCTGGGAGGTAAGGCTTAATTCTTGGAAGATTTTAGTGGGTTGCAAGAAATAGTATTGAAACAATGAAGTGCTGAGGTCTAAAAAATATCTTGGCGTTCAACAAGAAATGAGATACAGGTTTGTTAAGCAGACATCTGTTTACATATATCGACACTGCCAGTTCTGCACCATTCTCTCATGCAATTATAAACCATAATTTTAAAACTTTTTTTAAAATTTAAATTCAGATGCTTTCTTTTCCATGGGAAGGCCAGTCTATTTATGTTTGAATTAACCATTTGTCATTTTGGGATCTAAAAACACATTGAGATCTTTTTGCTCATCTGCCTCCTCTAGACTCAAAGGTGTAAGCTCCATACAGTCACGGTTCCTTCTGTGCATACCACCTAAAAGGCAGCTGAATTAAGAGCCTTGGTTCTGGATTAGAGCATGAAGCAGACACCAAATGTTTTAAAGAACACTTTTGAAATTGGGACCATCTCAACAAGGCCAAGTGGGCACTTGAAAAAAATTGAGTGATGTCTGGGACACACACTCTTTCCTCAAATCAGGGTCATGTCTGGCCTGGTGACAATGACAGTGTGAAATTCAGAGATGTCTATTTCACACAGTCCTTGGTAATTAAAACAGGAGTGGTTTTTCCTTTTTTAAACACCAAGAGTCCCTTCAGAATGTCCTGGTTCTCACGGAGCACTTGCAGGAAAGGTGTCCCGCCCCCAGAGTGGAGACCTCTTACCCACTGAGCACCTGGAATGGACCAGAAGTCACACCTCAGTACTTGTGATTCACATTGAAGTAGATGAAAGAGCCGTGGGCGCGGGGCCAGAAGACCTGACTTCTGTTCTCAGCTTGGCAGGTGTAATTCCCGACAAATTGCTGATGCTCTTGAACCTCACTTAACACATCTGAAACTCTCTTAGGATCACTGCAAAGATCAAAGGAAAGAACTTGTGGTACGTGGCCAAACATACAGGCTACAAATCTCTAAGTGATTTTATCAGGCATGCTTACATTCATTACTTTATTCATTCACACAGAAACTTCCCGAGGCCGACCATGGGTGGCAAAATGCTGAAGAACTCTGTGCACAGAAGAATACTTTTTTGAAGGGTATTTTTTTATATTAGTAATTTTCAAATTATAGGAGGTGCCCTAAGGGAGACTTGGGTGAATCAGGCAGAGGAGGGGGGAAGAAGGAGAGGTTTTGTTTTACAAAGCTTGCCTTACGTTAGGAATAAAGGGCTGTACTGATTTATTCATTTAAGTGCCGGTTTTGGCTAGTAGCATATTTTATTGACAGGTGACCTCGAGGTCACTTCATGGCTTTTTTGCTAGACCCAGAGCCTTTCTGTCTGTCCCCATCATTCTGTTTCTTTCTGTCCTATCCGGCGTTGGCAGGGTATGTAGGAAGAGTAAATTGGTATGACATGGCTGTACTAAGTGGGTCTGAATAAATCTTTTTTCCTATCTTGTCCCCTTTCTCCTTCCTTCCCTTTTTAGACTTGCTTCTTTTTGTTCTTTTCAAATTACTGTGCCATTTATAAAAATCGTAGTAATTGATATACTTGATAGAAAATGAAATTAAATAGTAGAAAAATCTTGAAATAAACCAGACTAACTTCAAAAGTCATTTTCTATTTTCTAGTCACTTAATTGGCATATATCCCCTGCAGAAGGCAAAATTCACCTTTGACAGTCAGTGGCTGAGACCAGAGTATGACTGAATGTGATAAAACCCTAATGGTGAAATTTTTCTTAGTTTCTCTTAATACATTAGTGGCCTTGTTCTTGTAGTTATAAAACTGCTTCAAGTTTTTATCAAAATGTTAATTGGGTTGTAGGATGCTAGTGGATATAGTAGGATCACATTGTAG